ATATATATATATATATATATATATATATATATATATATATATATATCCGACAGCGAACAATAATGTGGATAAATGAATGAAAGTATACGATGAGGCAGCAGTCTGAAGTTCTTCTCTAAATAAGAAGGTAAGTGGGGTTTCTGCAGTCATGACCCAGTTTCATCATCACTGGTTCATTAAGTATTGATTTTCACTATGTTTACTATTTCACTACAGCTCCATGGTTGTAAACTTTAAAATGTTAAAAGCTTAGATGTGAAATATGTAGGTTAAATTACAACATTTAAGTTACAGGAACACATAATGTCAAGTAAATATTTTTATTTTTAAAACTCTCCTAAAGTGAAGTTAAGAGTAATTATTTTGCTTCCTTATGACATCATGGGAAGATCAAAAACAATCTGGCAAGACATGTACCAGTAAGAGAATAATGGACTCCAACAAATGTTCAACTTTATCTAGATGCCTAAAGGTGCCACTTTTCTTTGTCCCGATAGTTATATGCAAGTATAAACACTGAGGAAGATTACTGAGAAAAGGAAGAAGCCATTACTCATTTTGCAACATAAAAAGCCAGATTACGGAGCCCAAAAGCACTTGTGTTAACGAAAATCTGGTTTTTGATTTAGGTAAAACTGAATTTTTTATGCATAACACCCTTTGACGTTCAGAGAGATACAGGCTAAACTTGCTAGCCTTTAAAAATCCATCCTGACTGTGATATACGAAGATGGTAGATACATGCTGTGGTGGTAGGAGTGACTCAGTCCACAATGGCACAATGAGAATACAACCTAATACAGCAATATCGATTTGCTGTATCAATGACTATACATACCACAATGACTATACATACCACAATGACTATACCTACCACAATGACTATACATACCACAATGACTATACATACCACAAAAAAATAGTTAAAATAGGGATTGGGAAATACAAAATGAGAGTGTCCATACCTATGCAACAGTTCTTTCAAAAGGCTCACCCCGCCTTTGAAATAAAAAAAATACCAAAGATGTGTTTAAAAGACTCTCAAAATCTGAGAAAAATATATCCCGCTTCTTTCCCGCATCTAGCAAAAAGAAACATCAGATGTAAATAAAACGAAAAACCGCTGTATGTTTTGAACATGGCGTGTGTAAACATTTGAGTTCAACTGAATGTCCTATGTGATTTAGTGGCACCTGAAACTAAGAGGAAAAAACATTTTTGGGGGGACAGGCACAGTTAGCTGCTGGCAAGCTCAAGTGGTAAGTCACCCGTCCTGCAAACAGGAAGCCTGAGTTTGTATCCCAGCTGGGGGGAATAGGTTGCAAGTGTGGGTCCTTGGACCAGACCCTTTATGCTAATGCTTGCTTTGGGGGAGTGGTGGCCTAGTGGTTAGGGCATTGCACTTTGAAAACTAAAGGTTCTGAGTTAAAGTCCCACTCCCACAGACTGCCACTCTGGGTCCCTGAGCAAGACCCTTCACCCCACTCATGAACAATATACTTAAACACTTTCCTTTCTCTTACATTGTTTAATTTTAAACAAACAAAGCAAACAAAAAAAGGAATTCTGCCTTATGTTAGGCTAAACGCTCAGTCTTATATTGAGATTGTCAGAAACACCGGTTGATTCAAAGCTCAGCTGAAGACCAGGAGAGTCTGTGGACGGAAAGCTTTAAGCAGAACCTTACAGGATGATTGGCTGAAGAGGAAATAAACTTGACAGTGATTGGCTGCACCAGAGGCGCATGATGAGTTGACTGAATGCAGGTGATGCTGGGATAAGTCTTCCAGTTTGAATTTGTGTCCATTGTTTTGTTACATTTGACAAGAGTAAGACCCAGACATTTCCACTCCAGCCCTTTAGGTGGCAGTAATACACTTTAAATGGGTTTACCTCCAAACAGAAAGATAGAAAGAGTTTAACCTAATGCGCAGATCCATGCATGCCAGTAGTAATCTAAAGGCTGATTTATACTTTGAAACTAGGTTATCTGCGTAGGTTTCGCAGTAAACAAAAAGACGTCCCCACCCCCTCCGCAGACACCCTGCTGCTCCTCTCCCAAATTGTAACTGACCGCAGACAGTGCCGCAGACAGGAGGCCGGCTTGTTTTGTTCTTATGACCGCAATTACGGAAAACAACCCATGAAGTTTGACCAGCTAGAAGAGCGAGGTGCACAAGAACGCTGGGACCCTTTTTCCACCTGGATCCCAGCTATTTTTTGCCCTCATGTCCCTCAATTGTTGCACAAACTTGCCCCCACTTCCTCTCCACCTCAGCTGTATCTAGACCCACAGCTTATAGCGCAGACCAAAATTGAGCATCAATCAAAAAATGTTTTTGTTATTTGCTTTTTTGGAGCAATGAAGATTTTATTGATCTTTGTGTAATGCATAATTCATAGTAGATCAGAAAGTGTTTGCTTTACGATGGAAAACGTAAATGTGTAAAACCATTCCTGTCTGCTATATTAACCAATATGATGTGTTGAACTACTATAGATCTGCTATTTTAACAGCTTTTGTGAGACACTTTTTTAGAAAGTAGAGCATTAAGTCATAAAAAAAAGTTTATTTGAATTCTATAAATCAAAGATTCAAAAAGTCTGGTAAAGAATCTGGTTGTTATAAAAAATGTAAAGGTTAAAGTTTAAAAAAAAAAATAAAACTGACTAAAACTAACTAAAACCTTTTTAGGTTTAGTCGACTAAAACTATCACATATCGTAATGACTAAAATGC